GGGGGGGAGGGAGAGGGAGCAGAGGGAAAGAGAAAAAAAGCAGCACCCAAGACTTAAATTTTGATACAAATCCTTCTGTTCTGATCTCCTACCCAGCCTTCAAATCATCTGTTACACTACATCTGACCTGACCTCTCCTGTTAACTAACCTCCTAATCTCTCATTACCTGTCCCTCTCTCTTTTGATCCTCACAGTTCTACTTGCTTCTCTTTTGACTCATTTCCTTCTGGATCTATTTTCCCTTCTGCTCATCACCTGTGTGCAACTCAGAAAAGAATTGAGTCTCCCTACTTTCTGCCCCTTTCCCACATCCCTACAGCCATGATGAGCAACTGCAAGAAAGTCGTGCTTAGTTTAGTCTCAGTATCCTGATCACACTCAACACAAATGGGATTTTAAGAAGATGTATTTAATAAAAATTCCAGCAGTCTCTACTGAGAACATGAAGCTAAGATTTTCAAATGTCTGTAACTTAGACAGCTTGGTTGTTTTTCTCATAGTATAATAAAAGCTGCATTCTACCAAAAGCTCTTTTCCTGTTAGTATCCAAGGCTTCCCAACAAAACAGAGCAGGATGAGGATTTCTCAATGAAATACATTAACAGCAAAAACAACAACAAAGTCCTTTCTACCAATCCTGCTAAAAAAACAATGTCTCCTTATTTTGTTCTAAGAAACAGACTGAAGATTTTATCTGAAGATCTACAAACAACTCAGCTACTGATTGGCACCAGTATAAAGATCTTCAATTAGATACTACATTAAATTTATATGAAAAAAGTCCCTACAATGGAAAATGTTATGCAGCCTTAATAACAGAGTAATCTGTCAGCTACAACTCTAATAAGCCTTCATTTCAACCAAAATGGAGAAGAATGGAAAATGTTCCCATTTTTATGCTATTAAAATGCACACAAGTTGTGCTTTTCACAGGATTTACATTTCCTTCATTAAAGTCTGTACAGAAGGGATACTACTACTCTATGCCTACACACTTTGAAAGAATTAAACACAACCTCCAAAGTGACATTAACATTGCTCCACTGTCAAATGAGTCATCTTTTTCAGCAAGTAATTTAATAGTGAGATTAAACATTGAGAGATTATCATCTTTTAAAAACAGTGTACTTTAAATTCATTCCTAAGAAATTAAATAAAATAATTAGTGTTATCTGGATTTCTGAGGTTTGTGTGTAACAAGATCTCATCCCAAATTGTAAATGTCCATTACATAATTTGAGTTCCAAGTTCACTTTTCAAAATGAAAAAGTCTGCTAGGTGTCTAAAATAAGTAAATATTTGGAAAAGATTTTTCCATATTTCTATTTGAAACTGTCAGTCGATGCAAGGTATGATTTTTATATGATTCGTGTGAACAAATGTCTGTTTTACTTACAGCACTTGCCAAAACGTTTAATGTATATAAGCAACTCCATGTGTCAGCAAACCAGAAGAAATTGCTATAAGCAAGGTGCCAAGACAAACTCAGCAACAGTTTCTTTTCTAAAATCTTGAAATATTTATTTTCCTACAGCACCCACATGTGTGCATGAAAATAATTAACAGGTAAAGACACAAAGAAATCTGCACATGACAAGTTATGAAAACTATCTATTTTACTTTCACTCTTCACATACAAGGCTTAGCCAACCTATTCTATAGTTATATAGCAAGGAACTTTTGCTTTGCATTTAACACTTCACTTCTGTTCTCAGATTTTAAGAAATCCAATAGATCATGCAGCTGTTCTAATATTTACATCTTACACTCTTAAATATTACCATTTTATGGATCTTTATGATTTTGTTATGATTTAGAATCCAAATTAGGTAACAGTTATGCATATTACTTATTTCAATATATCGTTTTGTTCTATAAAACTATCCAGCAAAACCACTCAGATGACGTTAGCCATGTTGAGTCAGCTGAAGAGTAAAACTGACAAAAATGCACAGTTCAAAGATCTGAGGTCAACAGAAGTCATTGTAATATGGTGTTTCCTTTTTCCACTGGCTTCAGCAAAAGGTCATAAAACATGCACTGAGATGACTTATTCTTGTGGTTTCACTGTAGATAGGTTCCATCTTGTTTTAACATCACTTTGAACACTTACTGCCTCTGAAACACTTTAGGCCATACACTGATAAAATCCATCAACATTTACTGCAGACAGCTATGCACCTTGTGCTCTTCTACTCAGAAAGCACTATAGACTTTCAAAGGACAACTGCAGATGAGCTACATCTGTCTTGTAGAACATAGTTCAAGTAGTACTGCTCTAGGGAGAGCAAAAAATAAGTGATCAACTGAAACAGTTCCTTCAACTGTTGCACACAAAATATAAGTTCTATCACTGCTGAAAGACACAGACTTTAACCTACCACTGTCATCCAAATGCTTGACTTGCTATTAATGTTTGAACATGTGCTGCCTTGAAAGTAACTTTCTGGTTCGGTGGTTTTAGGTGGTTTTTTGGTTGTTGAGTTGATGGATTTATTTTAAATTTGTTTTGTGGGGGGGTTTTTAATGGTTTACTTGGTTGAAATTATGGCACTTTATCTATATCGAGCTCTGGTAGATCCTAGATACCCCCCAGTTATCTGTGTTTCTGTGGGTCTTCCCCTCCTGAATGGCAGACCACATCAAATAAGCTGACTGGAGAAAGGCAGAGGTTCAAAACGCACCGAAGAATGTTTATACAAAACTGCCAAAACATCTGCAATAGCCCAAGCATTACATTTACATAGAAGTTTACCCAATAAAGAGAACCAGTTCCTTGAAACCAAGTAACACAGACAAATATATACCCTCAAACAATGATTAATAATTAACTGACTTTGTAACATGATGTAAAAATTTTGAACTCCATAGTTTCTTCATGTTTCTAGTTTTATCCTTGTGGAAAAAAATGCTTGAAAATGTATTGCTACAAGTTTCCCTAGACTTTCATTTTGGCACCTAATAGCTCAAGGTGGTTTACACAAGTATTCAAAAAAAATGCTTGAAAGTACAGTGTCTCAGATTTTACTTTTTATGATTGGCAAGCTTTATAGTATTTTGATTCAAAAGCTAGTAAAATGTCTCAGACAATAAATCGAAATAACCGCTATTCAAGCATTACCTGAGTGTATTCATACTTAATCTTTAAGTAAGATTAAGCATTAGGAAGACAGAAGACACATGGCAGACTACATTGGTCCTTTAAATACTGAACATTCAGGGCAAATGTAAAAACTGAAAGACCCAATCTAAACCCTACTAAGATGCTCTCTTCTACATACAATGATTAAGCAAGTATTACAACACACCTTATCATGAAATGAATCTCATTTGTTCTAATGAAGGCAACGTAGGTTATTATACTTGGTAACTAAAGGAAACAATTACAGTAATACAGATACACATTTTTCCACAGTGAAACCCACAAAATGTTATCACAATTTCAAACAACAAACCACTGCAGTTCAGAAAAATCTTTTAAACTTACTGTGTTAGTTGAATCCTCTTGTAAAATTCTATCGTATAACTGGATAGCATCATCATACCTGTTCAAAGAAATAATTTGTATTAATTATGCTAAAACAGAAACTCCTGACTTTCTGACTGACCTTGCAACAGTTAATAACCTTCCTGCATTTTTATACCAAATATATTTAAGCAAACTATATTAATACAAAATATCAAGTGAGTGCTAATATGAATAGCAGTATTTTATGTCACCAAGTGAAAAAATTACACAGTAATTGCTTCATGAAATACTGTTTCAGCAGCAACTAACATATTTCACACTGAATTTTTCATTTTTGTATGTTCTCTCTTTTTGTATACCCAATAGTTCCAATCATCATATCCCAAATCTCCCTTCCACCTCTCCCAAGAAACAGAAACCCCAAAATTTGAAAGACCATTCAAAATAATGATTTTTCACTTCACTGTTGTAATTTAAAACTTCATGTAAGTTTCTTCTGTTTTTATAAAAGTATAAGCAGCTGCATACAGTAAACTGGGGGGATTTACACAAGAGCCCACCCCTAGACTATACCATAAATGAAAGAAGATGTTTTCCACCATCACAACATAGGTTTTATTAATTAATTCTGCTATTTGAAGTATGCTCAAAAAAGGTTATTCCAGCTGCTATAAATGCTTTAAACCTTCTGGGAAACAGATCTGTATGTTCAGCCAGCTGTGTACATGACCCAAACTGGACAAATGAAATAATTCAATTCAAAACACATTTGACTACACAGCTGTTATGCTATCACCACATAACTAGAGCATACTTTGTGTCTTCATGTATAGTTTGACACATAGTTTTTCAGAGGTATTGCTGACTGATTTTGATGCTACACATCCCCTTCTCATCTTGGACACCCGTTTACATACTCTCAATGTTCCCTAAGCACTGCTGACATTAACATAGCTCAGCTATCCAGTCCAGTTACCACAAGGTATGAGAACAAACATGAAATGAAGTACAAAAGCAGAAACAAGTAGAAGGTGACAGCTACAGGCTTGAGCAGATATGATGTAAAATGCTGTATTCATGTTCCCTGTTAGTTGTTACTTTATCCAATGTGTTTTCTAAGACTGAACATGATGGCCATAACCCCATTTTAGAGGGTGAAGTTCCAGAGTATTGTTCTTTTCATTAGCAAAGATCTACAGGAATGTTCTTCACTGTTTCCTCTTCCTGATGGGGAAGGAAGGATCTTATCAACACACCCAGAAGTCACTCAGAATTTAACAAGAAGCTAATTTCTTCAATTGAAAATGTGATCCCTCCAGCCTAAGTCTGCCTAGGCTTCATTTATCGTCAGTGGAGAGACACAGACTTCTCCAGGACACGGCTCAGAGCACCAGCAGATGGGTTCCTGTTCAAGACAACCCAGAGCTGAAGCCTCTTTCTCCTCTGACTTCTGGAGAAAATCTATGAAGACAAAACCTCAGCTTTTGTTCCCCTGATATTCCAATCTGAATAATCTAACCTGACAGTTCGTCAAGAATTTTTATGAGCAGTTTTGGAAAACTGGGGCTCAATCTCACTTCACTGCTAAACAACACATAATTTTTGTGCTCCAGTCATATCCCACAAAGATCTGTTCCCATGCAATAACATCTTTGATGTAATCACATTAGCCTGAACAGAATTATGATCTTTTACACTTCTGAATAGGTTTTGGGAAGGGGAGATATCTGCTGTCATTCTCTCACTGTTTTCCTATGCTACATCAAATGAAGACATAAAGAGAGCTAAGTTTAATGGAAACTGTTCATAAATGTGTATTTGATATAAAGTGAGTGTGAAACATGGAACATCTAGTTGGCCTGAGAGTGCTCCTGTGGTTGTGGAATCTAGTTATTCACTTCTTAGTCCAAGCAACGAGCATTCATTGGTGGCTCATACTGAGTAACATTTTAAAAGATAATTTTGCAAGGATGCAATGGATGAACAACATCTGCTTAATAAATACATTTTTAAAAAAGGTATTTAGGGGTTTACTTCTAAGTTCCAATTCCTTCATATAAAGATCACCCAGAAGTTCCAAATCTCACCAAATCTGTATGCAAAATGTGGCATGGAATAGATTTGCTACCATTCAAAGGCTCTGGAAGATGGAAGTACTTCTCAACACTCAAGACAAGTGCATTAGAACAGAATGTTGTTATCAAAAATATATCCAAAGGAGAAAGGGAGGCAATAAATATCAACCTCAAGCCCTGAGGTCATTTCCTCATGAAAAACTGTGAGGTTTTAAGCTGTTCATTATTTTAATAATTCCTGTTAAATTTAGTTTGTTATAACACTTCTGTAGGTCATTTTAAAAGGTTTTGCCATTCTATTCCACATGCATTTTTGAGTTGTTTCTATAGCTAACTCTATAGATTTAATCCTTCTAAAGCTCTACTCAATTTATCCACACTCAGAAAACAAGGGAAAAGAGCTACATCCTGCAGTAATTAGGAGCACAGAAGAACAACAAAGGCAAAAAAATGCTGGTACTGATTTTCACATGCTACTCTAGCTCTGTGAGATGAAACGTATACCTCTGAGACTTTGTTTAAAAAGTGCCTAGTGTTTTACTGTATAATAACTTATGCTGTGGAGTTAAGAGATCTTTTTAATCTATTAAGTATGATGGGAAACTGAAAAAATGTAACACATGCAATACATGCAAAAATGTAATAAGTGTCTAAACATTATAATATGATCATGCACATAATTATTTTCTATAAAGAAACTACACAGCATTGCTCCACTGTGTTTTCATAGTGCCTGAGATCCTTTTTAAGAAATAGCAAGCACCTTTCCTGACAGAAAGTACATGTTTTTTAAACTCCGGTTTTACCTTTCCATAGCTTCAAATCTCATTCCAGTTAATCTTTTAACTCTGTGGCTCCCAGGAAACTGACGCCTTAGCTCCTGAAGACAAAACTATACAAATAAAACCAAAAATACTATTGTGAATATAATTATCTACATGGAAGCTGGAAGAAAACAAAACAAACCAAAAAGCAGCCTTTGGATGATGATGAGTTCAATGATCTGAAATGGCACTTCTAAGTAAAAGCAAATACAAATTTTTTAAATAACCAATAACATGTACCCATAAAGAGATCTCAGAAACTGCAGCTTTGTCTGTTAGAAGACAAATTCTAAGAAAAATTTTCCATACAGGTCATTAGATAGTCAGGCCTTCTTGGAAAGAGTTATTTGTCCAGAAAATTAAACTCACCTGCTAAAACACTTCTGATACTATTAAAACTTGAAGGCTACTTAGTTGCCTCATTAGTAACACAAGACAGTAAAAAACCAAAATAAAGATGGTAAGAGCTTATGTGATAGCTCTTTAATAAATGGATTTCTTACAATGGAATAAACTATGCTAATACTATGCTCTGTATTTATTTTTAAAATAAAAATTGAAATCCAAAGAAAATGTTTGCCACTGGCCTGGGTTGAGCCTGCTGACAGAACAGGCATAGCTTCTAACTCTGAAATCAGTGAGACACCTGGGCTGGATAAAAGAAATTCATCACAGGCAGATTTCTCTGGATTAGCAAAAAAAAGTTTGGTAGAGAGATTGAGTCACAACTTCTCCAGAGCAAACTAACCATGTCATGAATGTGGCTAGATAGCACTGCAAAATTTGTAACTGACTCATTATAGTGCGGCGCAGGACAGCTCCCAGGCTCTCAAAAAGACTAGTGGTTTGAATCACATTAAAAGCTTCATACGGAATCCTCCTTTTTCAGGCATTTATTTTATACAACTCAGTTTATAAACTTGTTCTTCATACCTAGCAAAGGCCTACCTACATAATCTGTTCCATCTCATCACATCCACTGGGCAAAGGAAACAAATCAGTGAAAATTAGTTAGGTTCCCTCTCTGTCTCTGTAGATAAACAGGTTGCTAGAGCACAGCAAAGAGAAATATTCACATCTCTCCATATGCAAAAAAACAGAGAAGGAAGAGAGAAAGGAAAGAGTATTCAAAGAAGTAATTCTGAGCCTCAAGTAAGCACAGAATATTTTCATCATTATCATGTTAGTTCCCAATGAACCAAGATCTCAACAGCGCAATTTCATATAACAAGACTCAGGGTTAGTACAGAAAGTTTAATGGCACTGAGTGATGTATGGGTGAACTGCTGCTACTCTGGACAAAAAACTGTCATGAAAAACTACATGTACTTAGCAGCATGTTACATAACTGAACACATGTTCTTAAGAGACAGGAAAATTTACATAAAACGACAGAAAAGTAGTTTCATTCCAGCTTTTACAATCCAAACAACCTTCTAGATTTTAAAAAGAACTTTTGCAGACATTAAATCCACCTGTGGCTCAGTGATCTGGGAATCCCAAAGGTCAGTGATTTTCAGTATAAAAACATACACTGATTTTCTCCACTAAAATTTTTAAATGGCAAAAATTGTAACATTTGCACTAATACTAAATTCCACAATCTACAGATGGACTTTTACACCTAGAAGAACCCCACCAACAATATAAAAAAAGCTGATGAAGTCACACTGAAGTGCAGGAGTACTACAAGACCAGAACTGTTCACACTAGGTCTGATTACACAAGCATTCAACCGAATACATCACTCACAAGGGTAAAAAAACCTGTAGATTAAGACATCATGTCACAACAAAGTGACATGAAAAGTTGTGAGAGTCATGAACAACTCACTGCAACTCTTTTGAAAAAAGTACATGAATAAACTACACCAGCCATATCTTCAAAATGTTCTGCACTCAGCAGCACTCAATGTTCTCTTTTTAAATTTAACCTGTAATCCCCATAATCATTTGTGCTACTGAGGAATGGCTCTGCACTATGTCAATAATCTACTTTCTAGATTGTCTCAGAAACTCAGCAGTTACAATGGCAAATCTCATCTGTATGTGAAACTTTAATTTGCAGTTAATTTGCTTGCTGACTTTTTAATCACACAGGTTTTAATTTTAAAGGTCTAACAAAGGCAAAGAAATATAAACCCGGACTTCAGCATGTAAAACACTGGTAGTATAACTGCCTGCCAACAGTCGGTGACTTCACTAAAACACGCACATGAAAGAACTGGCTGATTGCAGTAAGGTCATGCGTTACCCACAGTCATTTTGTGCAGGACAGAGAGGACAACAGTAATAGAAAGAGGAAAGAAAAAGAAAAAACAAAAGTCAGAATAATGGCTCTGAAAACCACCTCAGACTCCTTATTTGGAGCAGATGAGTCCTATCCCCCTAAGCAATATGCATCACAGCTATCAAAAGCTCACTGCTAAAAACAGAAGTTCCAAAGCTGTTTGTCTACCTTGGGGCTACAACTGCAGCAAAAAGCCAAAACTTGCTGTTGTTTGAACTAACTACTTCTTTATTATAAAACAATCGGATTAAAAAAAAAACAAAAAACAACCAAAAAAACCACCACCAAACCAAAAAAAACAATTAAGTTTCCCTCTAAGCTTTTAACCTCCTTTCTGAGCCGCTTATAAAATGTTGCACTCCCTCATCTCAAGCAATATTCCTTAGAGGGCACAGAAACTGAAATTTAAAATCCCTGCCAGGGTTAGCAAAAATAAATAGTGTTTCAGAACTGATCTTTCAACACTGGCTCCCTCAACAATTTTGTGAAAGTCTGCCTAAAAAGACCCTGAAAATAAAGACCAAAACTTGTTTTAGATATAAATCATAACACAGAAATATACTTATTCAAACAGTAAATCTATTTGGTTTTGTTTAAACAGACAGCTATACTACAACAGCATTTTCTTCTGAGGAACAAAAGAAAGGGAAGTTCAGTGGGTTCATGACAAGTTCAGCGTGTTGTGCTGTATTTTCCAGTGTACTCCATTTTACCATATACTTATGGGATGCAAGATAAACTTGTCTAGTTCTGCCAACGTTCAAATTGCCCTTCTCCCAACTACATCCTCTAGTCTGACCCCTTGTATATCACAGACCATTAAGTTTCACCCAGATGACATCATATGAAGCTCAAAGATTTTATGGGGTATTTTGCCATCTGACAGAGAACAAGGCACTGAAAGAGTAATCCCCATGAAAGACCTGAACTCCTGAAAATATCTTTTTTCTCAGAATAAATTCAAGCTTGCTGGCTTTCAGGGCATAAAACAAGCTCACGTTTTTTTCCCAGGGTTTTGTGAAGGAGGGATGAAAAGATCATAAAAATTTGCCTGCAAAACACACTTTTGCCTTCTTCAGTTGCTGCCTTTAGAGGATTAGCTAAACTTCGATGGGGTTTTTGTTTGTTTCAGTGCTTTTTCATTTTTAACCTACTGAACAGGTGTTACAGTTCTAAATAAACTCATCTAAATTGTTATTTGTATAATTCAAATAAATTTGCATACAAATTGACTAAACCCAACTATCCATTAAAAATATTTTTATCAAGAATCACTGAATAATTTGTATTGCAAGGGGCCTTTTGAGGTTACCTGCTCCAAATCCCCACTCAAAACAGAGCCAGCTACCAAGTCAGTGCAGGGCCATGTCCCAATCCATTTCTGAGCATTTCCAAAGCAGATTCCATACCTTCTCTGTGCCACTTGTTCCAAATGTTCACTAACCTCACTGTTAAAATTTTTTTCCTAATACCTAATTAGAATTTCCTTTGTTGCAGCTTAGGTCTCTCACATTGTATGTCTTTTGTTGCACATCTACAAAAATCTGTCTTCACCTTCTTTATACCTTCCCATTAGTACAAAAATAGCAATAAAAACCCTTCTCAGCTTTCTCAAGACTTAGTAAACCCAGACCCAGACCCACCTCCCAGCCTTTCCTTATACATTATGCATCCAGCTCCTTATTCATCTTGAAGACTTGCTCCAACATGTCAATGACTTTATTTGATGATAGACAACATGACATATAATATGACAGGACATTTTACCTCAAAATGTTCAAAAAACCAATATAATTTGAGAGGTTTTCAATAAACACACAGTCTCTGTAAAATATGGCAACTTCAATATTATTCTTGACATTTAGCCCACACCAGAGTAGCTGTAAATATTTTCATGGCTATTGGAAGAGACATGATCTGTCTAAACAAAAGTTACACATTAGAGAAGGTGGGTGGAGGCAGTTTCTTCCCAGCAGTGTATTTCTCGATAGATATTCTACAAGTCCTAGCTATGGAGTTCAGAATATCCTATAACTGTCCAAAGAACTATCTGGAAGAGACACCCAGGAAGAAAATTTAAGGTTTAAGGGAAAAGTCAGCTTGAAAACTTACCAATGCCAAATCATCTCGACTGCAGTCCAGGGCAGCAATCATCACCTGTTCATATATTATCCAAACTGGACACAAAAGAGACATTAAATGTAGATTTTTTTTATATATATATATATAATGGGAAACACCTACAATGTAAATAAGATTAATGAATTGTCCATATATTTTTTTCCCTTCTACTCCTGTGGATCAGTACTGAAACAGGGCCATTTTAAAAAACTGCTGGAATTAATTAAAAATGCATTTAAGCAATTTTATTGCTTTTAGTAACAAAGTAGCTTTTGACATCTTGAAAGGCTAAAAAGCTCTAATTCTCTCCTCTTCCTAACAGAAGACTGCAGCTATTATAAGCAGATCCCCATTAGGACTTGCTCTCTGATCAAACCTGGGGAACAGCCACTTGGACTAGAAAGAAAACAAATTCCCCTTAACTGTTTCATTGCCGAAAGTCCTACAAATGTTGCCTTCTTCCTGGAGTTAACAATTTCTCTAAATCACTGACAGATCACATTATTTCCGTTCTAGGCCTACCAAGTTCTTCAACATAAAGAACTTAAAAATGTAGCTACACAAGCTGCACAAAAGGGAGGTTATGGTAAAGTGGAACATGTAACGCAAATATTAGAAGTACTAAGTGTTTTGAACTAATGTAAATACAATCAGGTGCAACTCAGTTATTTCACAGAACTGAAACAGAAGCAATGTCTTCCAAAATAAAATTATAAAATAAATCCAAACAAATAAAATAACAAAGGCCCCATTAAAAAGTTTCTAAAATATGAATTTCCACTAGTTATTAAAGAAAATATTATTTCTTTCTAAGTACAAAAGAGAAACAGGCATTAACTTGCCTGTAACCCCTCTTCCCCACTGGAACTATCTGTAAGACATATATTCTATTTTATTATATAATGTGTAAATTTTTCCATGAATGTAAAAATACATAAGTACAGGCAAAATACAGATAATATATACCCATGATAAAAATTATGTATTTTTTCAAAAAAGTTCTAAACACAATAATAAGGTACTTTTGTAGTTTGTGAAATGGCTCTCCTCACTCGATCAAACCTCTAGTTTGATACTCTAACCCTAGCACAGGTTAGTGTCAGGTATTAAGGCAAAAGAACATTTGTAAGAGAACCAAGTAACCAGTCCAGAGGGATGTGGTTTTTTAAATCTGTATTAGGGCTTTCCTGTTCAAGCTTAAAAAACCCAACAAAAGAAGCCAAAGGTCTTATTCCTCTACTCTGAAGTCCAACTCTATAGCTTTGAACTACTGATTGTCTATAAGAAAATCTCAAATTTTCATTAAAATTATGATGTGGATAATAGTAGCCTAACCCCCTAGACTGAATTCTCAGTAAGTTATTTTTAAAAACTCTAATAATGGTAATTTTTTTCCCCCAATTACACTGGGTGTCTTCTGCCTGAGAAGGCAGGTTACAGAGATACCCAGATAATCTACCCCATTGCATTCATTATTTTCCCTTCTATATGCATTCTGAAATCAGCCAACATAGTATCCAGATATTGAAAACACATGAAGCAACAAGACTAACATCCATAACATCCAACTCATTCACCTTCCATGGCTGCTACCCAAGAAAGAATTCTAGGTCTACTGTAGGTGTTTGGGTTTTTGTTGGTGGGTTTTGTTTGTTTGCTTTTAAAATTGTATACAGTTGCCATGCTGATACTTTTTTTAAAAAAATAAACAGAATGCAAATATGCAAACAGATTCCAGATACTTTTATGGACTGGCGAAGAACCTCAGGAACATTGCAGCTAATTTATCTAACGAATCCTGAATGTCATGTTTATGAAAGAATAAAATACCTGTATTTTGAAAAGAAGGACAAACTCAACACTGACAAGAAAGGAATGTCTGAGCCTGTATTACCGAGAGCTGTGTTTCAGAAAAGCATCAGTAAGATCTGAGAGGATTATCAAGCTCCTCAACAACTTCTTACTTAAATACAATTCTCATAAATTACTAGTAACATGGTAAGAAGAAAGTAAAATCAGGGTTAATTCTCCAAGTTCTACTACAGCAGAGGGAACCTCCCACAACTCTCTTACAGGTGGGTGTATTAAGACTACTCATGCAGTCTGAAAACAAGCCTATTTTTCACAGTGCAAGACCCCCTCACAGTGCAGTATCTTCTTCAGGCACTGATTCTCCAAACACTCTTCACGACTTACTGCTACGCACAGAGGTGTCTTCAATACATGGTACTTCGGGTATATTATCCATGTATTTATACCCACAAAAGTACAACATTTGTAGTGGCCAAGTTCCTTACAACAGAAAGAACTCCAGAGCAGAACTACAGCTTGGAGGGTGCAAGTCAGAACCAGAGAAAAGCATCAATATAAAACAAATTTCACCTGCCAAACCCCAAACCCAGCATCAAAAGATTCCTCACCTGACAAGAAAAAGAGGCAAAGTGTCTTTCTGAAATGACTATATGGATTTTAATACCTGGAACACTGTATGAAGTTAGGTATTTGAAATTAAAGTTTACTTACTAAAGCTGAACAAAGTTAATCCTATGGAATAATGTAACTTTTATTTGTAAATATAATGCACTACTGTGGTTGCTAAAATCCACTTCTGACTATACAACAGCAGTTAATAAAATGGAGTAACTACATGAGTAATGCATTAAAGAATGTCTGTGCTAAATCACCTGAATTATAAAAAAGGGAAAAAGAAGAAAGAAAAATGAGCATTAAAATAAAAACCTGTGTGAGATTAATATGCAAACCTATACAATCTTGATAGCACTTTGTTATACTTCATTTTATTTTTATAATTTGCTTTATTTTATGCTTACAGTAAAGAGTTCTACTGTACTGTGCATGTTTCTAAACAATTCTCTTTTAGTGAGAAAGTTATATCCAAGCTTCTGTCTACTGAAATTAGTGTAAAATAGTTAAAATCCCCTGAAAATAGTAATTTAATGGATAAATGGACAGTAGAAGCCTAGATTTACCGTCAACTGTAATATCACAAATTAAATGTTATAATAAAACCAGCCTTAATATTAATTCCTGTAGTATGTATGACTCGATTAAGGAATAGCCTTCTCTGTTGTAAAAATATACTTTTCTATTTTTGCCGCAATGTTGAAGAACACAGAATCACTCAAATGACAGCTAGATATTTTCACTGAGTTTTCACATAATGGTCTAACTACTAATATAGCAAACTAACAGTTCTATTAGGTAATTTTTCCATCTGTTTTCCGCTGCAGCCCATATTTGGGAAAGAAATGAATCTAGGAATTCTGGAAGCCTATTACACTAAGAAAGTAATACATATTTCATCAACATCAGCAGATACAGAAGGCAACACAGACATATAAAACAGAGGTTGAAAAGAAAAAAACAAAAACAGACAATGGAAGTTCTAAAAATAATTACTGTTTACTTACTATCATCTCCAAGTTTAGATGCATATTCATTAATTAACTCTTCTCCAACATCCACTATCTGTTCACTGTTTCGGTAGTTTTCTTCCCTCCATTTCCTCATTTTATCACGCATATCTGGGGGCAAAGAGGAGTTAAAAAAGAAAAAAAATATTAAGGTTTCCAGATAGTAAAGGAATTTTATTTCTGGAAAATATGAAGAATTAGTTTAGAGACCAACAGATCTAAAAATGTGACTTCTACTAACATAAGAGAACTCCTAGAGAACAGATAGGTGTACTAGACCTCTGAAACCATATCACACAAACCATGCTCTCATTCAGTTGATTCGGCTTCTAAGTTTACCCACTCTCAGGTTAGTAACATATGCAGTAAAAAAGCCCTTATACCTGCTCACATTTGTCATTGCAAGCAAAATGCTGTGAACTTTCACTCTGAAAAGAATCTACACGATCCTATGGAAAGAAGCTGCTAAAAAGGTAGACATGGAAGCGAAGGCTTTCTATACCAGAGAAGTGTCCAAAGGTATAAAAATTATCACTATCTAGGTAAGACAGAAAAGATGGTTTATTTTAGCGTTAGGATTTTTGTTTCAAGAGTACATTTACTATGGATCAGATCTCCAAGAAAGCAGGCATACTCATGAAGTCAGCTAGAGAGCACTACCTAGCCTAGGTTTTATTTATCCTCTGGATCAGGAAAATGCTAAGAATGTGATTTTATATATAGTTAAATGGTTGTAGACACATCGTGGTCCCTGGAAATTCAAAGTTAGACAGCAAGAATGTGAGAGAACACAAACATTCACAAAAGCTGACAAGTTAAAACACATAAAAATAAATAAGCTGTCTGATTTCTACCCACTCATTTACTTGGAAATTATCAATGCCTCCACTCCAGTGTGATTCCAAATGGAATAGTGTCTCAATTATGTATTAACAGAATGTATAGCTACCGTTGATCACCCAAGTACAGCATTTACAGCAAAGGAAAAAAACTTCAGAGAACAGTATATCAGCTGATGACCGAAAACAAAGAAAAAATAATGTTCTCATTAATGTGAACCTATCGAGAGGCTTGTTAGTTTAATGAATTTTAAGTAAAAGGTAGAAGAAAGAAAATGCTAAAAACTGCAATAAAACTTAGGCAAGGCTTTTTACAGTGTTGTCAAACTTAATGAATTTTTTTACTAAGAAAGCTGTCAGAAGAGTCAGCCAATAATTTAAGTCTTGGAGGCAAAATCTACACACAGCATGTAATATACGGTTGGGCAACTGGGGATTTTAGAAGAAAAAAAAATTGTTACAGAAATGTCTAGTTTTAATTACAATTACTCCTGTCACCTGTATTTGTTACAATTGCTTTAGTCTTAGGTTCTTTTAAATTAGCAAGTTATGCACATACAAATCAAAATATTACAAGATCAAAGGAGGAGACACACTTGCCACAATGTTCCTAAAAACATGCAAGCAGTCTACACCAAGCCAAAAGAAATAACGTGTTTTATTTTTGTGTCTGTTAAGGCATCAGTTAATTTGGCTGAAGCAAAATGAAGCAACTCTCTTAACATTACTTATACTTGTTTAGTTGGATCACAGTTTTAAAGTCCTGGATATCTAAAAGCACCTGATAAAATGAAGGTAGTTACCCCTTTTAGTGGAGACATACATTGCATACTCCAAAATGTTACCGTGACATATAACTGCTACCACGGGCAGTCACTCCGGGACCCCATAACCATTACCTTTCTAGAGCTCATTCGCATATTGTTCTTCTCTTACAGACACCAAATCTTCCACTACACCTCAGCTCCACCCACTCTCACCTTACAAAATAAGAATCAAACCAAAAACCTCACAAATCCACCAATTCAGTAAATTTACCTAAACGCCCAGGGTGTGCAATGGCCTGGCGACGGCTCTCTGTGGGTCTGCAGACCCCCGGCCTCACTCGGATGCCTGACTGGTGCTTTGCAGGTGCAGGCAGAGGCAAAGGCAGCTCAGCTGGGCGCTGCGGATGCTGCCTCTTACCACAACTCAGCTTTCAAAGTGGACTCAACTAAAATCTCAACACCTCACCTTTGCCTCCTGTAATTTCATAAATTCATATATAAAGTCCAGAGTAAGCGATCTGTCCCTTTGATTACAACTGAAAATTAGGAATACCTAAAAGCAAGCAAGCGCAGCACAGAACACAACAAAACCACCTCACCAACACTTAACTGCACACAGATTGTGTATGATAGAGATGAACTGTTACTGTTTCCTATTTCTTAGAGTCTTTCCATACAAACTAAATATGAATTCAGTTTCTAAGTCATAGGAAGGAACCAATTTTGTCATTAAAGTGGAGTCTAATGTCTAGTGACATTAAAGATAGAAGTTTTCAAATTTGTTTGGGATTTTCTTTGTTATGTATCATGTTCCCTGATAAAGATATTTGCAAGAAAAAGGTCTCACATATACAGACTGCTAAAATTCATCTTATAAGGCATTTCATATTTTCAAAAATTACAAATAAGTCCTTGAAAAAAGTCTCACATAAACATGTAACAAAAACTTAATGTGCCACTACTTAAGCATCACAATTTTTAATACAGAAAATATTAATACTAATTTAAAGATCCAGAAGACTTAAGTAACTTAAGCAACAATCATCATGAGCTATTAAAAATCTTACATAATATTCTTTTCACTTATTTTCAATTTATATTAAAAGAAATCTAGTTCAGAGACTATGGCATCCCTTTCTCTTTCTGGTTTTGATATCCAGTGAAGAATTATGGACTGAAACAAAAGTTGCTGCTCCAGCATTCAAAGATTTCCAAAAAGCTCATCTACCACTTGCCAAAAGTCACTGCTTCATCTTAGCTGGGTTTGAGATCTTAATGCTATTATGCTTCAGTGCAAGGTAGAGAAAGAAAAGAAAACCTGATTTATTTTGTCCAATTCTGACAATATGTCAGATGAATTTTCTGTGAAAGCCAATTGTTGTTTTATTAGTTCTTGACTACCACGACTGCTTCTTGTTTGCATATCACACAAATTCTTCCAGGCAATCTAAACTGTGTGCTCCAAAACCTGCTCCTAAAATGAAGTTATACAGGTGTATTTTTTTTTAATTTATTTGGGTTTTTTCATATTTCCACTCACAGGTCAAATTCATCTTTAATGTATCACTGAAACCATATTAAATACTTATGAATGGTCTCTATAAAGTTCTACATAGCTTAAAAGACTCCTATAAGAAGCTGCACAGTTACAACTGATGTGCTAACCTACCACATCATGCTTCTTTGCCAGACCTGCAATTTTGGCTCCCTGTCATTCCATGTAGTTTCTAGTTCTTATAAATATGAAGGAATCAGGAAATATAATGCCACTTTCGAACAGGATAATTAGCAACAGTATCCAAAAGAAAAGGAGCAACAAATCACCTTCATCTCAAACTGTAAAATATGTAATGCATATCCATATAAGCATTTCTTTTAATACTACTATATTATAATAACTCTGAAATCATGTCTGGATCATCTAAGCCCACTGAAGTTAAATGAGAGGTTTTTGTACTCCACAGATTTCAAAATACACTTTAAAGCTCAAGATATAGCAGCAAAATAAAGAAACAGAAAGACAACAGCTTCAACAGCGGAAAACAAGTTATTTTCAGTTATCTTTCCTAACCACCTGTACAATGCATTTACCTAACATAAAATTTAATCATGGTTAAACTCCCACCTTTGTGACAAAGAACCTGAATGAAAAGCGAAGCAAGGTACAAACTATATTTAATTTCTCTCATTCTTCTTTCCTAACCTCCAATCAGAGTTTCATCTTTGTGAGCAATATGAAAGCAAAAACCATCTTGTTCAGAAAGCACTGAGTATATGAAGGACATCTTTCAAATGAATACCATATACCTGGTTTCACAGAAATTAAGCATTTTGGACAAATTCAACATGATCTACATTAAATTCCTAGAACTGTGTTCAAGTTCTTTGCTAGGGATTAGGTCACAACGCTGCTGGTATCACCTCACCTACGAAAAGCCTAATTGCAGCAGGGATCTGTTAAATTATACATGGAGAACAGAGAAAAGCCTTCTTCTCCAAGAAGAGTCTTTACATGGTCTGTTGCAGAACTCCATTTTCACTTTATCTTGCACCCCTTAAAATAGAGAGAAAAAGTACAGAATTTTTCAAATGTTGTCATTCTAAAGTGGAGAAAGCCCCTTGTACCAACACAGATCTTCCCCTACGCTCCAACACTTTTATCCGGACATAAACTGGAAGATATCAACTGACAAGTCGATATGATAAAAATGCCTAGCTAGTCTCCAAAAATTTCTTGTTTAACATACCATATGCAAAATGATACACCTTGCCCAATGCCACAAATGTCAATCGAAACTCTTGGAAACAGAATATGGACGTTATTTCTAAAGCGTAGGATGCCCACCTCAGTACGAATTAGCTAAGTCAACAAGCAGTAAGCTTGATCATCCTATACCTGGCCTTTAGAAGATAAAAACACCACCTCTGCAATACTCTAAACCGAACCAATCTAGAGCTAAATGTATAGAAACGTATCCACAGTCCACACATCCTAAGAAAAATCTCATTTCCCTTTCCTATCACTGACTGACACCTGAGAATAACAGGAGGAAAGAAACCCTAAATCTCTGGGGTTTCTAACAATGTACGTTCAAGCAAAATAAAAGCTGGAGAAGTTCTTTCTTTACACAAGCTGTTTTAGAGCGACTTCTGGAAAAGCCTATAAATAACACCAGTAATGCTCCATACAACTTCTCTTCCCGTACAGTGGCCTGACTGCTCTCTACCCAAGTGGAGCTTCACAACCACTATACTTTTTCACAAGAGATACAAAAGAATGAACCAAGATACTCCCCAAGTGATAAATTTGTCTAATGACAACACAGTGATGCAACCAAATATCAGAGCAAAACTACCTATAAACCAACCTCCAGACACACTGCAAGAAAGCCCTCTTCATCCTTAATCATTCAATTTTCTTCAATCCCAGCTAAAATATTTTCTAAAATATATGTAATTTTAGATGAAAATGGAATATTTCAAATTCCACTTTGTTTTGCTT